AAAAAAAAAAAAAAAAAAAGAGGGGTGGCATGGAAGCAATGATCATTCCTGGAAATGAAGACTGTTTGGATATAGTCAGTAGGTGAGCTTTTGGTTTGAGAGGCAGGTTTCAGTGGTTCTAATTTGAACATGGGAAGCTGCTTTTTTGAAGAGTACTTTATTACAAAGTCATGTGGAAGAATCAGAGGTTTCTTACCTGGCTCCTCTGCATATATATCTCTAGCTAGCTTTTCTTTTCTTCTCCCACTTGCTGCTTCTTCATGGACAGATCTTTGTGTAATGGCTGGAAGAATCTATGTGCTCTGAATAAGACCTTAAACTAAAATCCTGCTAAAAGAACATAAGATATAGCAGATGCAAAGCATCCACTGCAACTCCACATTAAATAAGCTTAATTAGCTTTAATTAATTAATCAAGTCTCAAATATTTCATCAATCATGATATATATATATATATATCCTTACAAATTAAGTTGCACATTGTACATAATTATTTATTGTACCAAGCCAACCAAGGATCACACACATTACATTGGGAGTGGGCTGCCCTTTGCTTTCTAGTAGTGAGAGAAGACATTACATGAAATCAAGGGCACATTCATACAGTGCATGCCTCTTCTACTCTTTCCTACCCTAAAAAAATCTGGGCTGGTCTTGATACCATAGCTTCTATCCTCACAATAAGTCACCCATTTTTGAAGCCAATCTAAAATAACAAGCTTCAAAAATAATCCACCATGTACTACTTCAAAGACTAAAGATAATTCCAAGCCAAAAAGAACAAAGAGAAGGCAAGGTGATAATTAAAAGAAAACCCATGTATCCTATTCTGTTAGTTATGAAGAAATCCAAACAAGTCACCCACCATGAGAGATTAACAATGAGTTTCAAATCAGAATTAAAGAAGAAGAAAAAAGAAAAAGACCCCATGATTTTTTTTCCTTTTCATCTTCTTATTTTAATTACCATGATCCTCCTCCTAACATTCCTGTCCAATACCCAGTTGAGTCTCCATGCTCCTTGTTCTGCTCAATCCCTCCTCCAGTGCTTGAAACTTGCTTCAAATCTTCAAATGGGAACAAAAGCCTCCCACTGCTCTCTTGAACACCTTGCAGACTCCCATATCCACTTCCAAGCCCATCCAGGGAAAAATTAAGTGTTGGCTTGAAATCCTGCATAGGGTACCCTGATGTGGTGCTATATACAGTGTTGTTGTTGTTGTTGGGGTCTGGTACTGGCATAGGCATGAAGGAATTCAAACCCCTTGAAGTCAATCCAGTGAGAAGCTCCAAAGCTGAGAGGTGAGATGTTGTGGTGGTGGTGGTAGAAGATGGGGAAGAAGCAGAAATATTAATGTGGTTCTGCTTGTTGCTGTTTTCCATGTTGTTGTTGTTGTTGGGCAATTGATGATGTTGTTGATGATGATGAACCAAATGGTCAGAGATAATATTCCTGAAATCTTGATTAGTGGCTGGAAAAGTCAGGTTTAGATCTTGGCCTTGATTAATCTTTGGGTTTTGGGGTTGTATCAGATCAGGAAGCCTCTTGGATGCTGAAGAAGTAGAAGATGTTGTTGTAGAAGAATTAGCGGCTGCTGAAGAAGATGATGATCTCTTGTTCTTCCTTGAACCCCCCCCAACTGGGATGTTTCTGAGGGACCCACCTTCAGTCCAGTACCTTCTACAAGTCTTGCAGAAGTACCTGGGCTGTGTGAGGCTGTAGTTGTTGTAGTAACAGAATTTGGTGTTGGTTGAGTTGCACCTTGGACAGTTTAGGGCTTGTTCTTTCTGAGGTCTTGCCTTCCTCTCTAAATTATTGGCTGCTGCTGCTGCTGCAGGCTTAGGGCATGTATTTGTCACTATCTCTTCTATTGGTTTCACCACAATTCCCTTTAAAAAGCCAAGAAAGGGAAAGGATTTCAGATCAAACAAAAGAAAATAAATAATCACCCAGTACCACTGGAGAATACTGTAAATACAAAGAAGATGGAGCAGAAGGACAAGCAAAACAAAACAAGAGAGCAGCTGCTTTACACTTTTTCAAAATTGTAACAGGCAACAGAAGAAAAAGGAGAGAAACAAAAACAAAAGAAAATTGGGGTCTTTTTCCTTTATCACCTAAACAAAAGGTAAAGTGAAACACCATGTTGAAGAACTGATAAAAACTAAATCCAACTGAGTGGGGACTTGCACTGATCACACCATCATCTTTACAAAGGAGAACCCAAAAGGGCCATTCATTTAAAGAACAAAAAGATCCCATACAATAAATAAGCTTCTTGTCTAAATTTTTCATGGAAAGAGAGAAGAAGAAAAAAGGGTTGATGATGAAAAATGAAAATCTATATCTATATACCTGTGGCCACTGAGCTGTATCCATGGCTGCAACAAACTGGAGTACAAGAGGAGCTAGCAAGCAAGAAGAAAACTGTTATCCTCAAAAAGAGAGAAAATTCACTTTTCTTGAAACTGGTTACAAAAGCTGGAAAACAAAAAAGAAAGAATGTTTTTGAGAGGGTTTGTGTGTGGACGTTCTGTGTATGTATGGCCCTTGCTTTATGTGTTGGGTGTATGAGTGAGAGAGAGAGAGAGAGAGAGGTTGCTTTGTAATTTTATAATAGTAGTAATATTCTTTTCATTTTTAAGTATTTTATTCTAGACATCCGAGAAGGAATATTTGTCTGCAAATTTAGTAATTTAATATGATGGTCTTGCACAATTTAAAATGAAACTTTGTGCCTGCTGGGTAGCTTTGGATGTACTGTACAGATATGTATATACATCTCTTGGTGGTGGCTTTTCTCTTTTCTGACCAGAAAAAAATAATAATAAGGCCAAGTCAGATTTCTCTCATTTCATTCAATCATCTTAACCCCAGTTCTTCTTATTTGTAAGCTGCTTTTTCTGTTAAAAGATAAACAATGTTTGTTAGCATGCATTGTTCAGAAAATGGACAAGCTAGATGTCACATACATGTTCAAGTTGATTTGGGTTTGCTGATACTACCTAAAGCTAGCTATTGAGCATACACATCACTTTACCTGAGAGACAACCAGCAGACTCCAATAATTTCAATATCATAATGTAAAAACCTTTTATGCATGAAGCATCCAAAATGACTCAGCATTCATTCCATGGCATGAATGAATATGGCAAAGCCCTGTTGCTAGTGCTACTTGCCACATGGGCTCATAGCAGATGGTTAAGTAGCTAGAATCAAGTAGCTCAGTGACAAATTTAATCATGTCAAAGACTTTTTCTTTATATAGACACCAGGTTTACACTGTCTTTACTTAACTTTTGAATTGCTTGTTTGAATTTTTTTACAACTTTATGTAAAATGGTTTCACAGTCATAATAAAAGCCTTCTCTGATGTATTTGTCATAAATTTGATGCCAAATTTGATGGCATTATGCAGAAAATGTAGGTATGAAAAGCGACTTGACTACATAACTACTGGTTTAGAGGTTTTACTTATTCTCCTGACTGCCGACTTGACAAAACCCCATCTCTTTCCAAAAATGACTCTCTAACATCATACTCCTGTTTCTACTATTTGACATCAATGCAGGAGATGTATGTACACTTGAATTAAAGAACCATTCAATGAAATCCCTACTTTCAACCACTTCAATTTTGAGTATTAGAAGACGAATTTGTTGTTGCATTTAACTATTAACCAGAGCACTACGCGTTGCGTTGCGTTGCTGCCAATTCATTTCGTTCAAAGTCTTAGGAACTAGGATGAGTTTCTGACTGGGCTAAGCAGTTTAGCAACGCGCATGTACTAAGTAAATGTCATCAACGACAGACAGTTGTTGAATTCTAAAAAGTAAAAAACCAAAAAAAAAAAAAAAAGCATTTTCGAAACTCAAAACCAAACCGAAGTACCAAACATTCCCTTAACCCTGCACATGCATTATTATGCATAGCAGACTCAGCAGTTGTTTCCCTTGTCACTTAAGATTCCGAAGGGTCTGGGTTGGTTAAGTAAACGAGCGACACGTGGACGATGCACTGAGCCACTGACATCTAACTTGAATTGAAGCTGAATGATTGAACTTGAACGGCCCTGATTGGCTGGCCTCCTCCTTGTCATCATGGCCTTGATTGATGATAATGGGACCCTCTCTGCCTCTCCATTCATCAATCATGTAGGACCATGTGATATATATTTCTTTTCTTCCTGAACACATCTGGTATGACATTATTAGAATACCTAATCATATTTCCACAATGGCCCCCACCTAATTCTACTTAAAATCCCTTTGAGCAGTGCTAAGTAGAAATTCCTTAATTTTTCAGGTGAATCGCGTCACGCATCTAAATTTAACCGCACACATAAATAAGAAGACTTCTTTGTATTTACGCTTCATACGTCCCATCTTATAATGCATGAGTTTCTTGTTGGTGTGTGGTCGGACATATGACATAGTTCACCTGCTAAACTAAAGAATTTCTCAAATACTAAAGACATTAATTAGTATTTAATTTCTTTTTAATATAGTTCTATAGGCTCTTAACATCGACACGTGGAAAATACCTATTGGTTTTATTAATACGTCACCTACCGAAGTAAGGAATTTCTCAAATACTAAAGACCAATTAATGTGATAGTGTTTTATTTGTTTTTATTTAATTCTATAAGCTCTTAATATAGACACATGGGGAACACGCATTGGTTTGATTAATGCGTTGAAAAAATAACTTAATTAACTTAGTAAATTAAAGTCTAAACCTCAAAAGTAATGGCAATTTGTCCTACTCTGTCAACAAATTATCCGTAAATTGTATGAAAAATATCATTTGTACTTACATGGTTGTCCCCTTACCATTTGAAGTCTAAAGACATTTTCATCACTTCTGAAAGTGTTAGGTAACAAGGGACCTTTTTTGTTTGAACAACTTTGAGAACTATTTATTTATTTATTTTATATATATATATAAACATTTCCATTAATAACTAGATTAAACTTTAATTTTTAAGTGCAGTAAGCTACACTTTTTCCTCTACAATTATACGTGGCTATTACTGTATAGAGTTGCAGTAGACTACAAGCTACTGTACCATATCAGTACCGTAGCAAAATCGGCGGCGAATAGAAGCCGTCAGATGTGGGGGCATCTTCAAAAGGCGGGCCCCACACCCCAGAAAAAAAAAAAACAAAAACAACAACAACAAATCCTTGGCATGCTGCCACGTGAGCGGTGATGTTGAAGCCAAAAGCACAAGAGGCATTAGCCAGCCATTGAAAATCTCGTCTAAAAATTTTGGGCGGTGGTGGAGCGTTGTGGGGTGGGACCCACGCCATACATGCGCATGCCCATCCATCATCTCCAAAACCCTACCAAGGAAGAAAAGAATCCCAATCGCAGATTGAATAAGAGCCGTCCATCTGATCAAAAGATCAGAAAATTCGTCCCAACCCAACCCGCCATACGCCTAACCTAGGATGATGAGGATGATGTCACGTGAGTGGGTCCCCAGGTTGACGTGGACCGCATGTTGATAGTGCGCCACACGTCAGCAAAAAGGATTTTAAGAGCAACTTGGACGACGACTTTGTCATACACAACACAAGACATTTACACATCACTTTCAAAACCTCCTCTCACTCCATATATACATATAATATTATTAATACATGGTCAAAGTGAATATGTTTTGATCAATTTGAAGTCGTAGGATGATTCCAACCGTCCGATTTGGCCAGGCCTCCTTTCATATTCATAGTAGCTTACTAGCTTTGCAAGATTTTGTTCTGGACCCACTAAATCTCAGTTGAATTTACACGATCTTCCATCTTTGTGCTTCATCAACATAGATATGCGTTAAGTTATTCTCTAATAACATCTTTAAAATGGGATATATTTTCCAACTTCTATTCAATTATACCTACCTATCCATATAGGTGGGTGAGATACATAGCATGGATTTTAAGTTGGAATGTATGTAATTTACCTTAGGCTATGAGTTACTAGCGTACGGATTTACCTTAGGCTATTCAAAATTCGAGAAAATTGAGTCCTAAAACTTAAGCGTTTATGTTTATGTTTATATTGATTGATCAACCGAATGAAATGAACATAAATTTGCATTAGCCTATTGATCGGCAATGCATGCCTTTAGCCTAAATTCAAGAACTAAACCCTGCAATTTAAGCGTTTGCATTGATTGATTGATTGATGAATAAAAAGAACATAAAACTCACATTGTCCTACTAACTGAATATGACGTTTTTAACCTAATTTATCATTAATTATACCTACCTATCCATATAGGTGGGTGAGATACATAGCATGGATTTTAAGTTGGAATGTATGTAATTTACCTTAGGCTATGAGTTACTAGCGTACGGATTTACCTTAGGCTATTCAAAATTCGAGAAAATTGAGTCCTAAAACTTAAGCGTTTATGTTTATGTTTATATTGATTGATCAACCGAATGAAATTAATTATACGTGGCTATTACTGTATAGAGTTGCAGTAGACTACAAGCTACTGTACCATATCAGTACCGTAGCAAAATCGGCGGCGAATAGAAGCCGTCAGATGTGGGGGCATCTTCAAAAGGCGGGCCCCACACCCCAGAAAAAAAAAAAACAAAAACAACAACAACAAATCCTTGGCATGCTGCCACGTGAGCGGTGATGTTGAAGCCAAAAGCACAAGAGGCATTAGCCAGCCATTGAAAATCTCGTCTAAAAATTTTGGGCGGTGGTGGAGCGTTGTGGGGTGGGACCCACGCCATACATGCGCATGCCCATCCATCATCTCCAAAACCCTACCAAGGAAGAAAAGAATCCCAATCGCAGATTGAATAAGAGCCGTCCATCTGATCAAAAGATCAGAAAATTCGTCCCAACCCAACCCGCCATACGCCTAACCTAGGATGATGAGGATGATGTCACGTGAGTGGGTCCCCAGGTTGACGTGGACCGCATGTTGATAGTGCGCCACACGTCAGCAAAAAGGATTTTAAGAGCAACTTGGACGACGACTTTGTCATACACAACACAAGACATTTACACATCACTTTCAAAACCTCCTCTCACTCCATATATACATATAATATTATTAATACATGGTCAAAGTGAATATGTTTTGATCAATTTGAAGTCGTAGGATGATTCCAACCGTCCGATTTGGCCAGGCCTCCTTTCATATTCATAGTAGCTTACTAGCTTTGCAAGATTTTGTTCTGGACCCACTAAATCTCAGTTGAATTTACACGATCTTCCATCTTTGTGCTTCATCAACATAGATATGCGTTAAGTTATTCTCTAATAACATCTTTAAAATGGGATATATTTTCCAACTTCTATTCAATTATACCTACCTATCCATATAGGTGGGTGAGATACATAGCATGGATTTTAAGTTGGAATGTATGTAATTTACCTTAGGCTATGAGTTACTAGCGTACGGATTTACCTTAGGCTATTCAAAATTCGAGAAAATTGAGCCTAAAACTTAAGCGTTTATGTTTATGTTTATATTGATTGATCAACCGAATGAAATGAACATAAATTTGCATTAGCCTATTGATCGGCAATGCATGCCTTTAGCCTAAATTCAAGAAC